GAAACACGTCAAAAAAAAAGAAATATATCATCAAACATCGATCAAATCTTCCAAGCAGGGCTGGGTTTCCCAAAATCATCTTTGCACAAAGTTGATTTTAAATGGTAGAGCAAGCATCATACTGAACACTCTCTCTATCAATCAAAATGATCTTGATGCTAAGGCGCTTTTGAGAAAATGGGCTCTGTCCAATGTTGCTAATCATAAAAAATATATATATTTTTTTTTCAAGCAATTATCCACCGACACCATCAAACATCCCTACTTCCAGATTCGCCTTGGTGGAAAATGACCCGGCCTCCTACCATCTGAATTTGCGATTCTCATTCTGAATCATTTTATTCAGAAACATAAATAAAACAGCTGCTTTCTTAAAAAGTGAGATGATTCTGGCGGGATGGTGCATCAAAGTGCACTCGCCTGTGGCAGATCTCTCCTCATTAGCACAAAACTGCAGCACAGATTTCATTTCCACAGTTTACTGAACCGCTCCGTTTTACAAGCTCCAATTACGGGGATCACCAAATGTGCGCTTCTTTCCAAACGCCCAAATCTCACAGACAATGTGGAGACCATGGAAGGGGGCAAAAGACGCTAATAGCTGATTAAAATCACTTATCAGTTCACACCTCGCACAGATCGCAGGATGGGAAAGACGCACGCTGTGTGCGCAGCAATTATCTTTAGCCACCATCTCCCAACCTCCGACTACAAACCCCATCACATCCACCCCTCTTTAGCTAAGCTGCGCTACGAGCGTCGCTGCTTGACAATCTTTCAATAAATCCCTCTATAAACATTTTCACACTGCCTGTTTCCTAATTGATAAACCTCCACGGGGGCCTGCATTATAATATCACTGCGCCCCGCACAAACCCCCCCCCACCACCCACAAGCCTCTTAAGATACTGAGACACAGCACAAGTGTGCGAGTGTCCATCGCGTAACACTTTCAGCTGGAGGAGTGGGATGAGAAGAGGTGTAGAGTCGTACTGACAGACCCTTGAGGCTGCCTCGCATCAAGGGTGTTCCAGCACAGAGAGGAACGTCTGGACCTTCGCTGGTTCTGTGTGCATGTATATGTAGCCATCAATGCATGCTTCTAATGTGGCTTTACCATTAATGGGGAATTCTGTCATTTTTCAAAATTGCCGCATAATAAAATAGTTGGGATGCAAACAAAGTAAATCAGAGTGCTTTGATATGAAATACTCTTTTCTAAAGACATTTTTTCTAAAGAAATCTAAAGAAATTAATCACAGCAGTGGTGAAAGGAACCAGACATCTGAAGAGTTTAACGTCTCTAAAAGCTCCAATTTTATGTAATAAAATGGTTACAAATACTCTGCCTAATGCCTGAGACACTGGGCCTCAATTACCAATAGCTTCCTTAGTTTTTTCTTAAATCTGTTTTTGATAAAGGTCCTAAGAAAAAGTCTACAACAGATTTATGGCGTGTTCTTAAACCGCAGCTGTTCACACCTTTGTGCTCTTAAATGTGTGTAGATTCTGTTCTTACCTAAGAAAAAAACAAATAAGAAGTGAATGTCAGAATCTTTGTGAACACAATCTAAGTGGATTTTAAGAAAGACGTTCTTCTTAAGAAAGGTTGGTGAATGAGGCCCTTTGTTTTGCAGTAGTTAATAGATAAGGATTTAGCTTAAAACATATCGCCACTGTTGGAAGAAAACCTTGCATCTCCATTTTTGCCGTTTTTCAGTTTTTGACATAATTTGAAGATGCCTGTTGTCCTTTATATTGTGTGCAAGTTTCATGATGAATGGACTAAAAGAAACGTCTGGTTCCACTGACTTACATTAAAAGTAAAGTAGGTTTTTTTTCTTTAAAGTTATTATTTTGTTCCGACAGCAGTGATATGTTTATAGGGTACATGCAGGGTGATGTAAGTCGAAAAATGTCCTGGAAGAAAACTTATTATTTCAGATTCATCACTATATGATCAACACTCAAAAGACACATGTAGGTTCATTGGTTGTTTTGGAAAGCAGCTAAAAAGCTTTTTAGAAACTGGCTGCCATCACTTTCATTGTAAAGAACTCAGATTTGGTACATTTCTCTACCACAAACAAATCAAAAGACTCTGATTTACTCTGCTGACATCCCAATGATTGAATTACACATTATTTGAAAACCAGTTGAATACACCTATAATGGGCCACTGAATTTTCCTCATTTTCCCACTTTTTTTTATAAAGAGTTTAATGTAATATGTAAGTACAGCTAAAGGTTCAAAACATCTCACTCACTCTTTAGTCTACACAACCAAAAACATGCCAAAACACACGGATCCAAACACATAACGGATCCAGTTGGATGCTGGACCCACCAGTGACTCCCTGGACCCAACTCTTAACACAAAGCTGAAGTTAGTTTCTCATTCTCCAGCTTCTTATTTGAATTTCCCTTTCCATCTTAAATTGTGCAGCAGTTGCACTGTTGTGCCTCAGGCACCACAATGTAACTGCAGCACCATTTAAGGTGGAATATCAGTCTATATCAGTCTTAAAGGTACAATAAGAACAGTAGCCTGTTTAATTCTAAGGGATAAAGAAAGGTCAGGAAACGGTCTTGTAAAAATGAATAACACTTCACCGACCCGTCTCATAACTACTACTCACGTTTAGCAAAATTCACGTTTGAAAATTCCCCATTAATAGTCTAACTTTGGATGCTTCATAAGAGCAGTGCTTCTGATCAGTGACACTCTGTGTTCTTGTTGATACAGAAAACCACACAAATGTACAACAGCGGAGCTCGGGGTGGATAAAATAAGATGCATGAAAAATGTGGGATATGGGCCCTTTAAGCAAGTCGAGGGTACTCACAGGTCCAGCCCTCAGGGCTTTTATTTAAATGAATTTAAACGTCAGTTGAATATTTATTGTTGGTCACACTGACAGCCAGAAAAAGATGACTCACAAGCCAAGCCAGCACAAGCATTAACAGAAAGCTATGTTCCACAACACTATCACACTCCGGACACATTACTGGTTCCCCCCACTTCCCACATCCTAAAGAAGACACAGGGTAGACGTAGGGCTGAAAGATTTGGGGAAAATATCTAATTGCAATTCTTCTAACCAAGATTGTGACTGCAATTTCAGATGTGATTATTTTCTACAATTGCATGGCCTCATACTTTTACCTTGAAGACCAGAATGTACAATTTTTCTGGGTTGAGGCTTAAAGGCAGACTGCCAGTTAGTTTATCACAATAACAGAATTTACCATAATAATGAACAAATATCCTCATTTTGTTCACCGCTAAAAGGGTGTGTGATTGCTTTTTTTGACTAATCTCATTCACAGGTAGATCACAAGGTCCATGTTTTCAAAGTTTAAGAAAACAGTGTTAATCTTTCAGCCCTAGGTTGATGGAAAGGACACAAACCACTGTCTCAATCTTGATAAAGGCAACGTTGCAACAGTTTACCAGCAAATGGGCACAAAAATGTATGTTGGGAAAGATGCAAAAACAAAACAAAAAGCATAGACCCTATAATCTATCACTGGCTGGAGCACTTCCCAAGCTCCATTCATCGTTTACTACCACACACTCCAGCACTTGGTGCCTGCACAACTTGCAAACCAGTTTTAAGTAGACTCTACTGATGTCAGAGGGAGCGAGGAGCCATACGAGCTAAGGATGAGCATTATTCATTGAAACACCACGGGCCATTTCAGCTCCCCTCAGCGCTGGGCTACGTGGGGCAGACAGTGACGTCACCGCGCTGATCTACTTTGCACACGTTGGGATTTAGTTGAACACACGAACACGGGAGCTTCGAAAATAGCAACACACAGGGCACATTTGCTCGATTAAAGACGGCAGACCAAAGCCTGACGTCGACTACGGTGCAGATGTGTCACTAAAAATCATTTCTACCCACAAAACAGACACACAAGCAGCTCAACTTACTCCTCAGAGTGAAGCTCAGGCAGGCTGGGCTTCAGCCTTTAACATTTACTGACCTCAGAACTGACCAAACACAGCGATTCGCTTTATTCTCAGGGATTAATTCGTATCAGAAGTGCAGAATTGAGAGCGTAAATTTAGCACAGACAGGTGACAAATTCAGCATAAAGTAACTCTAAAAATAAAGCACTCTTTAGAATATCGATCATTAAAGTCTATCAATTACACGATCAATTGTATTAACTACCTTCCTATCTGACTGCTTTACACGCACCTCTGCATTAGCAGAGAACAACTAAACTAATAAGTGATAATAAAAATAACAACAATAACAACAGTGCAGCTAAATCCGAGTGAAGGAAAAATCTGGACACCGTTATTATTCTGGACTTGTGACTATTTTGAGCTTTCAGTAAAACAGGCACATTAAATTTACTCCAAATCACTGTCCTCTTTCCACAAAAACAAACAAAAACAAAAAAGTGACCACTGGTTTTGGGGGTTAAGCACGAGCTATGAAACAATGTCAAAGCTAGTAGCGTTAAATATTCCAGGTTCATTTTCTCAGCCCTCAGGGCTGACGAGGTTGAAGCTGGCTTCCTATTCGCCAGCCTCTTGTCCGAATTTTCCGTTCCACCTTAAACGGTGCAGCATTTACACCTTCACGTTCCACCATTTAAGGTGGAACGGGGAAATTCGAACAAGAAGCCGGCGAATAGAAGCCAACTTCAGCCTCGTCCAAGGCTGTGAGCCTGACTCTCTTCCCTTCAGACCGGACTCTGAAACCAAATCAGTGTTCACGTCGTTAGCACTTCCCATCCACCCACGACAACGTTTATGAATCTAAACGACTCGATTTTGATCGACAGAAATACAGGTGAATGTGGTAAAATGACCCTTCCAGCCGTACAGTACGGTCCACTCAGCCGTTACTGGCTAACTAACGAAACGTTATCTGATCTGCTGGGTGTGTTTATCACTGACTGGGCCACTGACAGAGAATAAAAATCATTTCAGGTGACCAGTTTTGGACACACAAGCACGTATCCGGTTCGGCTCTTACCTCCTCCGTGTCGGGAGCGCTGTGGGTAACGGTAACGGTGACGAGTCGTCCCCAGAAATCCCGCTCCGACCCGGCGGACTCTCTCTCACTCCGAGCCGCGGTGATAAACTTTGTTCCTGCACCAGTTCGCTCTGCTAACACTTGCTAGCGTCGGTCAGTCAGGAGCCGCAACTATTTCAGGTTTTCTCCGCCGAAACAAAAACGAACGACCGCGTCAGTTAAGCGGTTCAAGCCCAGCGAGTCTGTTCCAGCCGCCTTCGACTAACCAGTGAAGTGCCGATATCGATCTCCGGGTCGAGGCAGCCGCGCTGGAGATCCGAGATAAACTTTATCTCCTTCTCCTCTCCGACACCGCCATCTTTCCCGCGGGGCACGCCGGGTAATCCTTAGGAATCCCCACGCATGGCGCGAACTGAGGAAGCTCAGGTGGGAAAAAAATCTGTGTAAAAACTCAAGGAACTCGTTTAAAGAGTGAAGAAACCCCTGTAGAGACTGAAGGAACCCTTGTTTAAACACTACTAAGCTGCCTTCACCTCAGTGTCCATGAAGAGGAAAGCCCTCATCATTAAATCCGTGTGTTAAAGATCCCATACCATGGAAATCCTCACATACACACGAACAAGACGGTTCTTCAAAGCGTTCTTTACCCTGCTGAAAAAAAAATCACAGAAACCATAGAAACGTTTCTGTTGGGATCCTGGAGGTGTCCAACAGCCACTAATGGCATTGTGTGTTTTCCTGTTGGGTTGATGTCACAGTGTCAAGGACTCTTAATGGTTTAACAGGTGTTCTGAGACTGATCCCAGATGCATCTCATGGTTTCCTAATAGGATCTAAAGGTGTCCTTCAGGAAACTAGTGAACTTTAATGGTAACTGTAACCATTAAGCCAATCCACAAAGCAAACCCATTAGGTTTTAATCCTTTAATGGTTCTAATAGTCTTTTTTCAAGCAGGTTAGTAAAGGGAATGGTTCTATTTGGAACCATGAGCTCTATATAGAACCATTTCATGCTTGAATGGTTCTTCAGATTGATGGTTGTATATGATTCTACACAAGATGCGAAATAGAGGGGGTCCTGTTGGGTCCGGGACCACTTAATTAACCTCTTGGATCCCCTGAATGCCTCAGAATCACGAATTCTGGGGGGGTCCCTGAAAATAAACCCTTATTTTGACCTTATACTCTCCGTCAGGGAAAAACAGAAGGAGAGGTCATTGTTTATCTGCTTCACCTACAGTCATTGAGATTCTGTCTTTGGTATCCTTAACTTACTGGAGATGAAGCACTGCTCTGCCTCAGGATGGCGCTGTAGCAAACTGGTTCACTCGGTTGGTCCTTCATGGCCTAGCAACTGCAACTATGGCCGTGATAACTTTATAACATGCCACAGCATACCTTGTATCTCCATTTGAGTCATTTTTCAGTTTTTGACATTATTTGAAAATGCCTGTTGCCCTTTACATTGTGTGTAAATTTAATGATGAATGGACCAAAAGAAATGACCCAGAATGACTTACATCAAAAGTAAAGTATGTTTTTTCCTTCTCCTGTAAAGTTACCATTTTGGAGATACGAGGTTTTGTTCCGACAGCAGTGATATTTGTAAATCTAATAATCTTGCCCAGTTTCCCAAGAGATAGGTGGAAAGAGTGAATTGTTACTCATTTCTCAAACCAAAGCCAAAAGAGAAGTGTACGATCTCAGTTAACGTGTGGAAGAGCTCATTACCAAACTAAAAAGCACCGCTATGGCGAGTGAGTTAGTAGCCAGCCAACATGGAACCCCTCGAATACCAGGGGGGTATTTCACACACAGGTTCTAAAAAGAACCTTTTTGAAAATGGTTCTATATAGCTAGCACCACACAAAAAGGGTTCTTCTGTTGTTACAAGCTTGACATCATAATAACAGAAAAACCCTTTTGATGCTATATAGAACCATTTTTAAAAGTCTATACAGAACCATGTACAGTACATTCTCCATCAATCTAAAGAACCTATTTCACCATCCAAAGAATCATTAAAGAACCATCTTTTGTCTTCCCTAAAGTTACCTTTTTGGAGATAATAATAATGTACTCATAATGTATTTCAGCCTTAAAGGCACAGTAACAAAAAAACAAAAACTGAGTGTAAGGGATAAACAGAGGTTGGAAAATGGTTGTGTAAATATTACTTATGACTGTTCTTAGCACATAAAATCACATGTATGTTATGAGTGGAACACAAGGGGAAAAAGGGGAAAATGTATAAAATGTATAAAATGTATAAAAAGTTTAGGCTGCAGATTTTCATCTAGTCACAGGAATATTGATATTTAAGTGCTGAAATAGTCACAGGCACAAAGAAGGATTAGCTCTCTGGAGCAAAGTAATTTAAATGTTGACATGGAGATTACTGAGTTAACTGACTTTAATACACAATAAGTCCAAAAGTTTGTAGACCTGCTCATCCACAAACGTGTGTCTGTATTAATTAGAAGTTTCCCTCCCCTTGCTGCAGTAACTTGTTGGAACATTGCTGTGAGGATTTGATTGCATTCAGCCACAAGAGCATTAGTGCACCGCCAATCAAGGCAACGTGGCATAGAAGAGATGGAACAACATGTGGTGGAACCTGTTAGTGTCAGGGGCCTGTGGTTCCTCTCACAGTCCTGAAAGTCATGGAAGAGTCCTGAAGCTCCAACAATGAGAGGAGGCTAATCTGTTGACTTGCCACTATGAGAAGAGGAAAGATGAAAAGTTTCGTGTGAGTAGGGTGTTTATTTTACTGGCTGTGTCACATGACTTCCGTGGTATAAGATCTCAGGAGCAACCACTATGTTTACATGCTGCTGTGGCTTTCTGGAAGAATAAAACCGAACTTCACACAGAAAATGATGTAAAATGTGCAGAACTATAAGCTAGGTACGTTTACTTTGTTACATGCACCAGTTAACTGCACACTCATCAGGAACATCCTCTGTGACTGCTGGCTCGCAGTTCCTTAGCTGCGGCTTTGGCCAAAACAGTTACAGCCAAAATTGGAGACAGTCCAGCATGGGTGTCTCACACAGTCCCTAGATTCAGGGCCACCGACAGGAGGTCCTTCCTGGTGAGTCCTTCAAGGGAGGCAGTGGAAACCATGGTTTGGTATCCCACTGTCAACTACTATAAGAACAATGTGGTTGAATTTGTGAGTTCTGAATGAAATGTTTCCAGGTTCAAGGAAAGCATAAGAGGAAAGGCATAATCCAAGTAGCCAAGTGTAGGCTACTTCCTCCAGGCCCAGCAGGCTGGGCAGATTCAACAGGGAAACACGGCAGGGAGTTGAGTCTGCCCTGGCAACAGATCTACTGAAGCCTTGCCATATTAGTGCCAAGTAATATGGAACACTTGAACAAAGGAATCCCACCTCAATATTGAATCTGTCACCTGGTTGCTTTGGTAGGAGATTAGCCCACAGTGATGCAAGCCTGAAGCATCTATGTGAGCAAGCAATATTCGAGATAGAAAACACTGACCTAATGCCCCCTTGATAGTGGATCCGAAAACTGCAGCCATGCCCAAATGTATCGGCTCACCACAGTGCTGAGGCGCCAGCAGAAAGTGACACCAGGTGAACAACCTGTAACCTGTCTATGCGCACTCAAGCCAGCAGCCTGGACCCTTTCTCACTGCCCCCAACTGCCACAACCAACGGCATTCAGTCATGAGCATGTTACCACATGAGGGGTTCAACTCCAGGGGCATCCTAGCAGGGAGAAACGTCTTGTCTGCAAGGCAATAGGGTACACTGTTGTGTTTGTGGTCACTGGGTGGCACAGCCACATTTGGAACTGGCGAAGTGTTTGCACCAGACAGTGCAGTACTGAACATAATTGAACCATATTCCTCAGCAGTTATATTTTTAAGTTGCACTGACTTCTTTCATTCTGTCTTGAGTGTCAGCTTTTCATTTTATTTTTCCACTAAAAAAAGTTATGAAATGGTACAAATATGCCCGTCTTCTGTGGGAAAGTGAATGTGCACACTTTAAAAAAATAAAGGTGCCTCAAATATCCTCTACTGTTCTCCAAATGACTCCAAACTGGAGGAACCCTTAATTGCCGAGCAGCTCTTGCAGAAACCTCTAACTACCTCGCTGAGTTCTATAAAACACCATGCATCAAGTTCTTTGTGTAGCCCTCAAGTACTTTTGGGTTTTTTTATTGATTTATTTTGGATTTTAAGAAGTCTAGACTTTTTCTGAGGTTTCTCAAAATTCTCTTGCATTCAAGCAGGTTCAACGAGTAGCCAAGATATTAGGGGAACATCTACATCTATGAAAAGCAGTGACTAACCTGGAATTTGCATGCAAGTTATTTCATTAAAGTAACAATACTTTGACAGCAGTGTGGCTTTAAGTAACTCTATCCACCTCTGAAAATGGAGGATGCTTAAAAACTTGGTATTGGTAAATCCTAGATCAACACTATTAATCTGAGAGGTTTGGTAATATGGGGCCAATGTTTTGTGCCAGCGCTCTGTTGTTGAGACTGCAACACCTCATGATGTGAAAAACTAGCACCAGATGGCAGTCAAGGGTTCTATTAAGTTCCATTGCCAAGAGAGGCTCTGCAGAATGCAAAGCTTTGCAGTGGAACTGTGTCATCAGTGAGTGTTTTTCTCGAAGAGCCTTGGCCAAAAGTCGCTGAGAAACACTGGCTCGACTGTTACTTTGTGTTTGCCTGCATTTCCCACACCACAGAGCTGCCCTTGAATGAGGAAAGAAAGAAAAAGCCTGTCACAATCTTGAAAAAGACAAATACAAGGCGTGAAAAGCAAAACACGAGCTCAGGTTCTTGGTCTTGTTTCAGAAAGATTTGAATCCTTTCCCTTAATTTTTCATTCACAGTTTTCTCAGTGTACAGTGTGAGATAATGGCCTTGTCTCTTCTCTTCAGGTGTAGTAGGGAGGTTAATGAATAAAATAAAGATTCTTTTCCACACTGTTTTGAATGTGCTTAAGCATTTAAAAGGGAGAATCAGTTCCCTCAGGCTTGGTTGCTTAGTTCAGGTTAGAGGCCCCTCGTCTGACAGACAGTGTCAGAAGGTGGAATTGTAATGCTGCACTGACCTGTCAAGGATGCAGACAGCTGACCTCAGAACAGCCGGTGGTGATCACGCGCCACAAGAAAAGTCATGGTCTGCTGACCCCGGACCTCCTGCTGGCTGGTAGTATGATGGGTAGCCTGCTGTGGAGGAAAACATTTGCATTTCATTCAAAGAACCAAACCTGCATTAGAAATACCAGGTCAGCACGATTCATTCCTCACAACACCTGCTGACATGGCTGTGCAGCAGTCAAAGCCTCGCAGTGTCAAAGGAAATCCGTCAAGCCCAGACACCAGGACAAAAGACAACATGAGGGCCACTGCTTTGTTGGATTAAAAAAGTCTTTTTAAAGAGAGTTTCTCTGTTTTGTAACAAAATGCTGCATAATTCAATCAC